CCCCAAAACCCCAAAACCCCAAAACCCCTGGCAACCAATAACATGTTGATGCATTTTTGGTGATTTTTAACCATCCAGCCTCTATTTTTATAGCATATTAAACCTCTTTCGTGATGTGGTGCCGTTTTGCAACCTTTGTTGATAGTTTAATACAGATTTAACAGTTTTAGTATCGATAGTCTAAGTAATAGAAGCGGCTGATAGAAATTTCTTACTAGCAAATTAATATATAGCGTCTTATAATAACCTACTAAATTCTATGAAATAACTTGAACTTATAAAGAGACTAATGGAATGATACATATAGGTGTTACTAAGCAGAGCGTATAGGTTCAGCTTTTATGGTCATGCCAATTTATCTCTTCTTTTAAGCATATTTCCTACATACTCGAACTAGCATATTGTAATATCAAAACTTAACTAAGTACTACTAAGAACTCTATTTCAGCCAAAATGTGAACTGATTATAAAGAAGCTGCCTATCGAGCAGGACTAGGAAACCCTAAATGAAGAATATTTGGTCAATGTATGAAATGCCTTTCGATTATTTCCGAATTATTATTATGCCAAAACTTCATAACTTCATTTGTCATATAATAGAGAGGACTAATTCGTCCTAAAATTACGAGGGCGATTAAAACCTAGTGGCTAAGATTTAGGTTAGTATAGAAATCTCAATATTGCCTCTAAGCTGACTGAGACTCAGCAAATAGGAGAAATCATGCTTATCCAGAAAGTTATGGGTTATGCAAGGTTAGTTTCTATTTACCTATTAAGCTCCTGGAAACTCAGACTATGAGTGGAGGATTCTTGGTCATACTAAATAGCTAAAACTTGCTCGCTTGAAGTCTCTGCATCATTATGACCATAACAAGACCCCTTCGTTGATTATTGATAACTAGTTTGAGTAGGAAGGCCCAATGCGAACTGGAGAGTCTGAACTATTTTAATAACCCAGAGCAAGAGCCAAAACTATAGAGTCATAGTCCTTTAATTTCATAGCGATTTATGCCAAATATTCGAGTTCTAGACACTAAAAAGGTGATGGATATAATCAGAATTAAGGCTATGAGTACTTCAGGAAATTACTTGGGCTTCTTATAATACCAATCGTTTATATATTTTCAGAATATTTTTCTAATGATTTCTCTATTTTTTAATAAACAGAAGCTTTCCGCTGAAATGTCTTAAAAATGTTGCTTTAATCTGAAGTCTGAAGCATCTCCTGCAGTGAAGAACTCTACTCGACTTAGGCACTCAAACATTTATAACAAGGTTATTCGTGCATGAAACAACATTTGTGGCAGAAACTGAGTTGTCCAATAGAGGTTCTAAACCTTAATAAGTCTTAGATTTTAAAACTCCATAATAACCTCAGTTTCAAACCCAAAGCCTCTATCTAACCACTCAGTAGTGCATGACCTGAATCGATCGATTCCTACAAGAAGTTGCAGCTAGCGTTTCGAACTGTTTTCAGCAAAATTGCTACTAGAATATGAAGTTCATTACCCAACTCATTCAGGCAATAATATGTTTGCAAAGTTATGCCCAAGTTACTCCTTATGGTCATTAGGACCAAGTATAAACCCAAAAATCCGTCTTTTCTACTTGCAGATTACTCCTTGGGCATAAAATCAACACGAGAGTTTTGCCCAGTCTGAGAAGAGCTATTAGAAGCCTGCATCTTTATTTCCCATGATTTATGGACTTATTCGTGAAGAAATATTTATCTCCTAGTCTATAATTTTCGAGCTGGCTTTGAAGTTTAATGAAGAAGAGAGTACTAACAATGCTCATATTTCATCATCTGTGGTGCTAAGGCTAATCGCTCATCCAATATTCTGCTAATTTTGAGTTATCTCTTGCTCAAGGTGGGGAAACTGTTATGCCTGTTAATTGATAGTTTAGTATCATTGAAGATTAAATAATATTCTATGAAAATAATCTGAGTGGTCAACTCACTTTGAACTAAGCTGGGAGATGTCCAAATAGAATGTTTACTACGTTTACAAGTCACTAAGCTTACTATTATGAGCAAAATTGACTAAACTATAAGTTCCTTCACTTCGATAGCAGCTCAAATAATTGAAGTCACCTGGAATTGAGCCGTTATCTGTCAGAAAGAAGAAAATGAAGCAATAAAATAAGAGCATGAGCTTTTGCCTAAAATTTTTGAGACTTATGAAAACACAATCCTATATTATAATGTCAGTATGATTGCAAATTATTGGCTTCCATTCATCAGATATTGCCATCCAACCTAAATTGGTCAGCTCTTTTTGCGCCAGGCTTAAAATAGAAGTTTCATAAGGCTTCTCCCTGCCTACGTTAAGCATAAATTTTAGAATTTCTGATGTAACTCACCAGACTATTTGAGAAGCATAAGTTATCACATATCAGCTATCTATTGATCTAATTATACACATTGAAGGCTGGAAGAAGAGCTCAGATATTCATTGTGGGCCTCTAATCCTAACAAAGACTCAAAATCTCTATTAAAAATGGCATGAATCGTTAGAAATTTAGGATAAAATTTATTCCAAAACAGACGAGCTAGCTTGCAAGTCTCCCTGGTTTCGAGTGCACAGCATACTCTTATATCCTTATCCACTGGATTTCTATAATATGGAGCAATTAGAGCAAACTTTTCCTAATGCAGAAAGCAGGTACTAAATAACACCATAATAAGATTTCGCACTCTATGAAAATATGCAACCCTTTAAGCATAAAAGAAAGAAGTCAGCTTAATAAAGGATGGCTAAATGTAAGCAGTGATAGGGTCTTTTCATTTATAACTAAATGGATAAATGCATTCCATTCTTCTATATTGGCTGAATTCAAACGTGCATAACTTTTACCTCCCATATTATCCAGAAATATGACTCAAAATTTAATGGAGAAATAAGAGGTCTAGGCTCTGTACTAAATCAAAGAGAGTAAAATTAGCCGAATATTAGAAAGATTCTTATGAGAAAGTTATATATCCAGTTTTCATTCCGACCACAATATGGTATGAAACTCATCGAGAGTTTACTTTAACTATGTGAGTAAACTCTTTAGTACTTTAGTAGAGACTCTTCTAAAATTTTTGCTCGAGAGTCTTTTCTCTGAGCAACCACACATCTACACAGAGTCTGGAAACTCTTTGATTTCATGCACTTGTTGAAGCCCCCAATAGTGAACATCTGTGTTGTATTCCAGAATTGGTCGATTTCATCTCTGACTTTGTTACTACAGTCGAGTTGATAGGACTTCTTGATCCCAAGAATGCCAACAGTGAACCTGGTGAGTTCTTCGGTGATAAGTTCTTCGGAGAGAACACTACTGATAGTTCTTTGCATGCTCTCGATGGCAGTCTGGACATCTCAGTTGACATATCTCTTTTTTACAATCTTTGGGTGCTGTTTCTTGAACAAGTCATGGAAGAATTTTCTGACAAATCTGAAAGCGGCCTTTTTGGGTAAGTCCGACCTGTTCCACCGATGTCTTCTGCTCTTTGTGCTACTTTTGCGTGTCACCTTCGACTTCTTCATGCTTGGGACTTGTTTTGTATCTGAGCATTTAGTTGGAGAAACTGGCCTAAGTTCCATTACCTCCTCTAGAGCAGCTTCTTTCAACCATGGATTCTGTCTCACAAGGCTGAAGTCAGTCTGGCCGAAATCAGTCCAACCCTGATTGATCTGGGCAAATGATTCTGCAAAAACACTATCAGGATGACCTTGCATAAAAAGAAAAGCTTCGTCACTGAAGAAAGCTGAGTTCATTACAAATTATAATTAATTATATTATAAACCTTTCAAATTAGTTGGTCTTATATGGGGTTTTGGGGTTTTGGGGTTTTGGGGTTTTGGGGTTTTGGGG